CGTTTCTTAACGTTTAGCCTTCATAATACAAACCGCTCCACGATTCGCTCACCGCTGTCGATGAGGTACTTGACGATGTCTTTGCAGCCGGCCTCCACGGCGTGATGCAGCAGCGTGCAGCCGTCTCCGTCTTGCAGCAGGAGGTCCGCCCCCTGTTGGTGGAGCTCTCGGAGCTGCACAACAAATACAGCGATTTGTTCCAAAGCGCACATGCTCAGTAAACCGCTTTGCTCAATCAGAAATCAATACTGGTAACGATCAATACGTCCACACTCACCCGCTCCAGGTTTTCCTTCTTGATGCAGCTGATCAGCTCTGCATCTGAAGAGCAGGAAACAGACACAAGGTGTCAAACAGCCTGTTGCTTGTTTTCACTTTAAATCCACAGCCTGTCAGCTCCCTCTGCTGGACAGACGCTGGAACTGACGCTGAAGTGTTCAACAGCAGAACTGAGGAGGAGGAGGGCTTTTACCTTTTTCAGGGTCGTGTGAGGTAGCAGCAGCAGGTCTGTCAGTGAGAGAAGACACAGATAGGTCATCAGATTGTCATGTGACAGAGGGAGGAGCTTAAATCTGAGGTGCAGGGTGATCGGGACAATCGGGGGCTTGTGAGCTTCTCCCTTTGAAAGCCGCCCGCCTCGTGAACAGAACTCGCACCGAGACATCATGAGGTTGTCACGCCTGCACGTCGGTGCGTGTCCTCCCGGGATCAGACCGCTGCACACGCACAGCTAATCTGTCACCGTGTGTCAGCCAGGTCTGTGCAGCGGGACGCTCTCGTTATGGTCTTGCATTACAGCGAGCGTTCTGAGCACCTGTGGCGTCTTGCAGTTAAACTGCGTGTTTTTATTATGCAGAGCCAATCAGAGAGCTGCACAAACAGACGCCAAAGCACCTCAGGCCACAGACTGTATAATAAAGATGGACATGGCTTCTGATATTCTGTTGAATGTCCAGGAGGGGGCGCTGACGTCACTCATTATGTAAATTATGGCTCTGGACCTGGGCTGTTCTTATTGGCTAACAACCTGACATCACCATGACATCACAAACCAGGCACAAAAAAAGCTGTGAAGCTGAAATGTTGGCAGGTGTGTGTGTGTGTGTGTGTGT